GATTTGTTCTGTTTCACTCAAATAATGGATAGTAATTTTTATGTAGGAATTCTTCGCGACCACTTGCCTGAGATCAGACGGAAACTTGGGAACCGTTGGCGTTTCCAACAAGACAACGACCCCAAGCATACAAGTCGAATTGCGCAAAAGTTTCTTGCTGAAAACACCCCCCACGTTATAGACTGGCCAGCAAATAGTCCTGACCTAAACCCTATCGAGAACTTATGGTGTATCGTTAAAAATAATGTAGAAAAAAAAATGCCGCAGAATTTGGACGAATTGGAATGGTTTATGCAGAAAGAATGGCAAGATATTCCTCGATCTACCCTAATCGGGTTAGTAGGATCGATGAAACGACGTTGCGAGCTTGTTATTGAAGTAAATGGCGATCGTATATCTTACTAAAAATATTTATTTAAAAGCCACGATTCTTGGCTTTCTAATGACATATTTTTCATGTGATTTAATTAGTTAGTTATGAAGTTATAGTGATTTAATTAATTCCAAAAGCGAGTGTCCCACACTGTACCTGATATACAGTAAAACATATCACATAAATATTTGGATAATAAAATAATTAGCATAAGAAAAAAAGGTTTTTAAAAAATGGATTGTTTTTTTATTTCTTCGTTTTTCGTTTTATTCTATACATTATCACCTTTCTTTTCTTTTCTTTTAAAATTTAGTTCAAATAAAAATCCTTTAAATTTTACTAAAATCACAAGTCTTTGTTAATTTTCACAATTATTGTTCTAGTAAATAAAGTATGACAATAAAATTTAAATGTCCATATGTTGAAATAGTTTTATAGAAATGGTTAAATCAGTATGACTGTAACTATTTAAAAAAGTTTTTTTTATCATTTTAATTAAATTTATATGTCAAGTAAAAATTTCTTATCAAATTTTTATTAAATTTAATTTTCTATCAAATGAACCTTTAAATATTACATAAATTCATGAAATTCAATATTAGATTGTTTTAATTTGTTGCAAGTAAAATTTATTAATTGCATATTGTTTATTAAGAACTTATTGTAAAGATCAAAAAATTTTAATATTGAAAAAATTATAAAGTAAATTCAATTCAACAAATATCATTAGCTTATCTAATCGAAATATGAATTTTATTAATAAATAATCAATTTTGTAAATTTATTATTTGTTATTTTTAGTTTTAAAAAAAAACAATATGTATGCATGTATATTTTTGTTATTGCATCTTTTTGACAATAGAAAAATTAATTTTATTTAAAATATCATAAATCGAACAAATTTACAGTAATACACATTCAACTATAATTACTACAATATACTGTTTGTATATACTGATTTCTGTGCTAATCTTATGTATAAGATATATCGAAGGGTTTAGAAAGTACCTAATGAATTCCACGTATTAATTTAGTTATTTTGAATGTACATAAAATTCCATGATAATTGATATCTTTTATAATGATTATTTAGTGAGAAGTAAAAAACATTGTTTTTAAAAATTGAAATTTAGGTTATTTAAATTTGCAAAAAAAAAAACTCACTTTTTATCTGAAAAAATTAAATAATGCCAAATATGGAAAATTCATAATGTACAGTTCTCCATTACTGTATTAATCTGAATAAGTTTCTAATTACGCATTTCGATATATTATTAAAGTCATCAAGGCTTTAACCTCGGAGGTAGCCAATTCAATACTTGCTAACTTTCTTTCTCTGTAAACTCCTTATTAGTATTAAAACGCGAATGATAATCAATTAATTAATTAATTTCTCTTCCACGGTCTTGTTTATACATGCTGATCAGCTGCGCCACTGTAATAATTCAAATAATAATGACACAATATTATACGGTATATAATCAAAAAAAATAACAATAGCTTGTAGTAATAAAAAAGTGCATAATCGAGTAAGGAACAACCAAACTTCACGTCTTATTATTGGCAATACAACAAGTTTTTGATTAATAATATTTTTCACAGATAGTATACATCTTTCCTTTAATTTTTTCTTTAAGCCAATTCTATAATACAGATATATACAGATAACATATACTCTGATTCCTCATTTTACCTCGTATACAGTATTCTATCGCTATATTCAATAATGGTATCGATAATAAATCCAGATTGTACATAGGAAAATCTATTCGCAGTGTATAATAATAGCAATAATAAGTTAAATAAAAAATGACAATGTAAAATATCGAATCAACCAAGTAATGAAATGACACAAAGTATCCGATAAGTAAACTCACTCTACATTATACACCTTGTGCTATTATAACCTCTGATATAAATCCTACTCTTCTTCATCGCTTGACAAAATTGCACGGTGCTTTCCTTTCTTCGTTTCTGTTTGTTGAGTCGATTGATGTTCAATCTGTGAATCGGTAGGTAATGATGTTGATTCTGTTGTTACATAAGGATGTGTTGGTTGAAACGATGAATCGTGCTGTGCTTGTGTTGTCAAGGTTACTGGAGACGAAGACGATGATATACTTGATGTCTTAGAACGAGTCTCGGTATTTCCACCAGTACCCTTGTCTTTGTTACTACCACCACTACGTCTAGTACTAGGATATCTACGAGCTCCCATTGGCCTAGCTCCTCCAGTTTCAAGCGATGCCGACTTTCTGCTACTTACAGTTTGCGAATGTCGTGTTAAAGTTGGTGACTTCGGTGTTGTTACAGTCGACTGTGATTCTGACCTAGTTACCATAGTAGGGCGAGTTGGTGACTTCTGTGTTGTTGCAGTCGACTGTGATTCTGATCTAGTTACTATAGTAGGACGAGTTGGTGACTTCTGTGTTGTTACAGTTGACTGTGATTCTGATCTAGTTACTATAGTAGGACGTTTTGGTATTTTTGGTTTTTGCAGTATTTCAGTTGATTGTTCGGATTGTAGTGTCTTTGGAATTATTACGGCGGCGGGTTGTTCTACTTTTTGAACGATTATAGTCTGCTGTTCTTCGGTAGCCAATTCTTCAGGTTGGGTTTCCAATGATCTTTCGGATTTTTCCGACAATTGATAATCCGCATCATCAGAGCTGTCTTTGGATTTCTCATCTTGAATATTCGTTGAATATTGTGATTGTGATTCTTTAAGTTCCTCACTGATATTCGTCTTTATTGGTGAATGTGGGTAATCTGTGTAATCCAAAGTCAACTGCGCCGTTGGCTTTATCAAGAATTCCCCTTCGGTATCTTTTTTATTAGGTTCAAGTTTCATATGATTGTAATCAATCTCATATTTACGTAATCTAAATTCAGAGAGATAATGGTTGTTTAATGTTTGCTCAAGGAACCATAGTTTTTCATCAACCATGTCATTAATCTTTTCTATGATATCCTTCTCGTTAATTGTTCTCCCTTCGCCCGATGATACACGTGGAATTTGTGATAAATTCGGCACATCGGAATTCGTGAAATAATATTCTGGATCTTTATTCTTAGGTACATATCGATAATGATCGCCCTTAGATTCAATTATCTTACTCGAATCAACTAAGTTTGTTTGACTTTCGATTGCCCCGGAATTTTCATAAATATCTTTGGAATGTTTTTTCCTGTGTGCATCAGGTGAATTGCGAAAGATGTAACGATGAATCGCTCCCCAAGCTTTATATTTTCCGTGTCCAAATAAGAATATCCAGATTGCTATCACATAAATGAGTAAGCCACCGATCGCAGCAAACAAATCATATGGTGTGTATAATCTTATCTCTGTATATCTCATAACCTATAAAAAATTCAGATTTAATACGATATAATTATTTAGATGTATGATCGGTAAAGAAAAAATAAGATACAAACCAAATATGTGTCAGGGGAATATGTGAATATTGTTGCAACGCTTCCATTACCAGAATTACTAACAGAGTCATGATCCTGTTTACTCACGGAGAAATAGGAATGACTATTTTTATTATTGTCGATACTTTCAATGCGAGTAAAAGTGAAATTGTTTGTCGAAGGTATTTTTGCTGCAAACGGTTCAACCGTACCGATCGAACGCTCGTCATCGAAAATTCCAAATAAGATTGCGTTGTTTGATGTATTCTGTGATCCCGTAGATACAGTAGCAATTAGAATCATCTGATCCAAGGTACCAGGTAAAAAAATGTAGTTATTGTGAATATTTCTAAAAACGAAACACGAAGTATCGGTTTTTGTATTCCAATCACCGGCAATTAAGTCGGTGGCATTGGTTTTACTTATATAGGAGTCCGGCACTTGATCAACGTTACCAGAGAGTTTGGTACGTTTCAAGGTTTGTACCGTAAGACCGATAAGGTTTTGTGAACAAACGAAACTATTCCAAACAGGAAATCCCGTTTGGCTAAGATTCCTAATCGTTACTGATACTAATGGGTCTACGTCCTTTACTCTGAATGCTATGAAGAATTTGGGTATCGATATGAAGATGATTATTGAAAGGAGTATGAATGCTATCAAAATACGTAAAAAAAATTCCCTTTTCATTGTATTTATGTAGGAGTATGTAAGACGCAATTTAACAACTATATTCGTATACGTAACAAGTTTTAAATTAAATATTTGGTTTCAAACTCAAAGAAAAAAATTTTTTAAATAATAACAGGTGTGAAAAAAAGTATCGGACTTTTACTCATCGCTTCCGGGGTTCGAATTTATAAACGCGGGTTGCAGATCAAAACAACTTACGTAATATGTAGGATTCCGGATTGCCATGACTCGTATTTTGTTCTATGAGCTTCTGTAATGAGAACTTTACATACAACCGATCAAAAAAATTTTTTGTTGTTCCAAATATTCCTTTATACTATATTAAACTTCTATATATGTTCTTCAAGATCGGCTTCTTTGGATCATTATCACGAAAAATTCCGGTTGGTCACGCCATAGATTTGTTTACATTACAGTCTTGCAACTGTAATTAGTTTTATGCAAGATGTGGAAATATTGTTAGGGAAAAATTTTATTTTTTTTAGGAACACGATGACCGATCATATAATGATGACTATGGGTATGAAATTACCTAAAGTAGTAGCTCAATACCATAGTCATTGTTTTGTTGTTACTATTTACAGTATTTCATCTATGTGTAGCTTGTAAGACGTATATCAAAAATATTCTAAATTAAAATCACCTAAACTAATCAAACCATGTTTATTTTCCACCCTTTACCCTTGTAATACAGTACTCGAGAAAACCCTTGTTTAAATGCAATTCAAATACAATCTTCATAATAATGTAAAGAATTTTAATGAAAAAACCAATTTATATAAACTATTATGGTATGTCTATAGATGTTTCTATAAAAACTTATGAAATAAAATTTTTAAGCTATTGATTCTATATGAATTAAAAAAATAAATAAAATTTATATTTTAGTTTATATTATGAGATAGAATTATAGTAATATATTAATGTTTTTAAATAATATTGAATAAAATAAATAAATATATAAATATTATTGATTTTTTTTCTATCAATATCTGAAACAAAACTTTTTGAAGTTTTTTATTATTTATTATTTAAAAATCACTATATGAAAATTAATAAAAAATAAATCAAAATATACTTGAAAATTTAGAGATTTTATTAATATAAAATTAATAATTAACTTTTTTATCTCCTTTTTCAATTATTATTTTACACCTCTCTCTTATTGAATCTAAAAAATTATTTAAAACCTTATTTGAAATTTTATCTTATTCTTCTATTATAAACTGTTTTAATTTTAAAATATTTTTAAATAATCTTAATTTTATATTTCTTTTAACAATAGTCTGAAGATTTTCAATAGAATATAATATTTGTTTTAACTTAATTTTTACAAATAATTTTATTTTGTAATACTTATTATACTATTAAAAAAAATTACTATTTTTTTAATTAATTAATACTTGATAATTGTTTAATTAAAATTTTATTATTTTATTTAAACAAAAACAATTAAATTTGTTTTAAACTAATTTTTTTTTTTATAAGTAAACATTATTTCTTTATTTATTATATTATATTATAAAGTTATATATGTATATAAAGACAAAACATTTTTTAAATACAAAGCATATAACAAGTTAAATGCTAATTTGCTTATATATCTATATCTAACCAATATCAAAAAAAATTTAAAACAATATTATATATATTAAATATAATTTTTTTTTTTTTTTTTTTTTTTTTTTTTGTAGGTAAACATCATTTCTTTATTTGATTTGTATATGTCAAGGTATACAT